GTGTGTGTGTGTGTGTGTGTGTGTGTGTGTGTGTGTGTGTGTGTGTGTGTGTGTGTGTGTGTGCGATATACTTTGTATTCGCCGAAATAGAATAAATTATCTTTTGTATGCATATATATTATATGCATACAGAAGATAATTTATTCTATTTCGACGCATACAAAGCTTGTTCGCGTACCATATAAAAGATAATCAGATATTTAGTCACAAAAGCGAAGTTTTAGCGGGAAACCCTGACGCTTGCTAACCGCCCATTCTGGACCCGCACCTGCAGAAAATAGAAATATGGCGGCCTGCATATATGCAGACGAAGTGCGCCGTAACTACTGGGGAGAAAGCCTTTGCTGTCACCGCGTACCTGTTTAACGCCCCCATCTAGACGCACTAACACGCTCTCTGTCTGTGCCGATGCGCGTTTATTTCAAACTCAAACAATTCAAGCAAAACTACGTCCGAAATTTGCGCATTCGCGGCGACAATACGCGAGTCGTAATTTGACTTTCAAATTCATTTAGAAAGTCATTGCTGCGCTCCGTGCGATCGATGCGTCGCCTGTTTTAAGTGCCGCTGCGGAGGAAGACAATATACAGAGGCGGCCCTCATTACGGCTTTATTGTCAGCTGCCGCCGCCGCCAACAAAGAGCCAGGTTTCTCTCCCCCCCCTCTCTCTCTCTCACTCTCACTCTTTCTCTCTCTCTGGCTCTTTCTTTCTCTCTTTTTTTCTTTCTCTTACCCTCTCTCTTTCTTTCTTTTTCTTTCTTTTTCTTTCTTTCTCCTTCTTACTTTCTATCTTTCTTTCTATCTCACTTTATCGCCCCCTCTCTCTCGCTTTATTTCTCTCTATCCCTTTCTTTCCTTCTTTTGTTCCGTTTCTCCCTCTCTCTCTCTCTCTTTCTCTCTCTCTTTCTCGGTCTCTTTCTCGCGCTTTCTTCCTCCCGCTCTCTGTCTGTCAATCTTTCTCTTGCTCCATTTCTCTCGCTTGCTTTTCCCCTCCTTTTCCGTTTCCCTCCCTCATCTCTCTCTCGCGATCGCTCTCTTTCTTTCTCTCCCACCTTTCTACCTCTTTCTCTCTCTCTCTCTCTTTCTCTCTCTCTCTCTCTCTCTCTCTCTCTCTCTCTCTCTCTTCTCTTTCTCTTCGCGGGCGCGTTCATTGTATATAAGACCGTTGCCACGCACGTCACGTCACGTCACATGCACGTCACGCCACGCAGACGCTATCATACAACGCCTTCTCCCCCTAGCCGAACTCATCCTCTGAGAGGCTAGATGTCCTCCCCCCCCCGGCGGGCCCCGCCCCTCCCCCCCCTGGCGGCCCCGCCCCTCTTCTTCCTCCCTCCACCCACGCGCGGCTGGCCACAGATGTCGGCCCTCTTCGAGAGACATGAGAGACCTACGATTTCTTGTGCGGCGTTACGTACGGCAGTGTTGTGTCCGTCTGCAGGAGTTCCAAGGCGTGCGTCGCGAGCGAAAGAGAAGCCGCCCGCAGATATGGTCGGTCAGTGGCGACAGGGCGGCGGACACATGCTGCGCCCGGCGCGACGAACTTTCAATGTCCCCACCTTCCGCGGGGCGCCCGCGAGGCAGCCTAACCCTCACCGCGACGTTAACGACCGCTAAAACGTTATATTCTTCACTCGCAAATTTAAAGCATTATAATAATAATCATATGTTACAGGGTGAT